CCCTTGGTGTTGCTATTAATCAGAAGGATGTTACTACGTCTGGAGGAGGATGATTCAGCTAATGGGCACCCTTTAGAATATCTTAAATATTCTGTCACAGAAATGGCCATTTATTTCTGTTCCTCCTGTAACAAATTTATTCAAGTGGTTTAACTCTCCCTTTGGGGATATTAAAAATTATATTTAAAAAACCATCCCTTCTCAAAAGCATTGTTTCAATTTCATTGCTCATCAGTTTTAAAAGGAAAATCACACTTAATTACTTAAGCTGAGCAGCTGTGTTTAAACTCCCCTCCAGGAAGTACTGTATCGAAATGTGGCAATGCCTCGTGCTTGCAAGCATTAATAAATAGCAAGTCTTACTCCCTCTTTCTGAGCTACCTTAATGTTTAAACACATCAGGAGTTTTCTTATCTGGTCTAGTCTATGACTACCACCGATTACTTAAACAGCAATTAGTTGCTATGGCAATTACCCAATTATAACACTTTCTCCACCTTTCTTTTTACCAGATCTCATATACTGCCTGTGTACCCGTCCCAGAGCTTTTTGGCACAGAGAGACATCATCCTACACCTTCTGCTGAAAGCCAGTTAATTATAAGTCTTGTAAACTTGGGCCTTTTAACCACCTGCTATTAAACTAAATGCAGCCCACATGCTCAGACATGAGAACCACTATAAGTGCCCAGTACTTTTGATTTTTTAAAAATTCTCTTCTCGAAATTCCCAAGTAGCTGTTCATGCCTTTTGATCAAAACAACCAGTTATTACAGGGGTTAGGAATGAAGATAGTATTTGGTATATCTAAATAGGTGCTAGGACCCTCTGAATTGTCCCCTAGCAATACATCTGAGCTTTAATTCATTCTGTGAGATTACCTTTTATGTAAAATAGCCTTGTACATAAACCACTTTTTAATGAGATGGTCTGGTAACCAAAAAGAAAAAATCAGTGTGTAATAATGGATAGAGAACCAGCTTCTCAGCTAGGAATGCCTAGATTCAAGTCTAGCCTCTGACACATACTATCGATGTGCCCCTGGACAAGTCATTTACCATTTCCGGGCTCTAGGCAGCACTTTTAAGACTATAAAGTTGACTTGCATTGATAAAAGAAGTTCCTCACCCAGAAGTTCTCTATACCAATGAAATCACAGATCTGGTCCTTGTCTCTATATCTTGGTAATCAAAATCACTTGGATGGGGTCTGAGACCTATTAAGCTGTACTGAATTCACTTTGTAGTGACAGAGATTACAAGATGGCATAGCACCGTCAGCATCTGCAACTTAATGATAAACAACATCTGGATAAATTTTTTTTTAAACACAATTCCGTTTCATCTAAATTCAATGTCTCTCTTGATTGCCAGAGCCAGAAGGATATCTTTATGGTACATCAGAGAGATTGCTAATGAAGCATTTTGAGCTCCAAGACTTTAATATTTTTAGAATCAATGCTCTTTGAGAATTCATTTCCTTTTCCCTCATCACCTCTCTGTTTATCATAGAAGCACTCTAGTCTCTGGCTTCATGATCTGGAAAAAAAAAGCAGCACCATTTATCACATTTCATATAATAATTTTAAGAGTTTCATCTTGCACTTTCACAATAAAAATAAAATAGTATAACTTGGGATTAGAGAGAAGGCTTCTATTTCTAAACTGACAGATATTCTTCTCTTTATGGAATAATTCGAGGCATTTGATCTTTGGTGAATTGAAAGACACATTTAAAGTGATAAACAAGATAAGTCTGAAAGCATACTAGCTTATCTTCAGCTTATCTTCTACCTTGGTTTGCTTTGCCTCCTTTAGCTTCCCAGATACCCTTATTGACCTTACTGGATAATTAAACTAGACCTAATCAAAACAGGAGATCCATTGCTCTCTTGAAGAAAATTGATCACCTTGGTGAATGGTGGGGCCAATGACCTACATGTAATTCACCAGGATAGCAATGTCCTTTCAAATGAGAGGCCCCGTAACCTCTATAATCACATTTAATCCCTCCTTATATAAATATCCTACAAGTTCATTCTCACTTAAAGAGCACCACAATTCCCTTTATCAAGAACTTCATTCTTTGATAATTTCAACTTATTAGTTCATTTCAAACTGTTTTATTTTCCTTTTCTGACACTCTGATTTTCTACTCCTTTGCAATTTTGTCATTTTAGTTTATCTGTTTTCTGATTTATTGCTAAATATCCATATCTTTTTTCTTCATTTTGCTCAAAATTAGCTTCCAAACTACCTTGGAACCATTTTATTTCTACGACAACAAATAAATCCTGTTAAAATATATTTGGGGGAACAGTAGAAATTCCAAAATTTGAGCTTGAGGTTCTTGGTAACCATGGCTATGTAAGTTTGGCACAATCTAGATGTAAGGTCTTTACCAAGATCATCATTTTTATCCTGTTGTTGTGACCATACTATTTTTTCCCCCTAACATTGGCTTTGGCTTCTCTTATTCTGCACATTTAGCATCTTCTTACTTCCCAGACTCTTCTCAACCCTGTTTGTCATTTGTCAGCCTTGATGACAAAAACTCCTTTCTCCATTTTTTCTCCTCCATCTGTCTGGCAATAAATCTTCACCAAAATCCTGTTCCTTGATTTCCCACACATTTCTAAAGGACTCCATCTGTTCCACCAAATATCTAACTAGGATAAACATTTGCTACATGCACAAATCAACTTTGAGCCATGCAAACCAAGGCTTTCAAGAACTATGTCCAAAACGCTCCTCACTGTTCCCTCAATCTATTGCCAGATCTCTCCTCCTTTTCATAGTCAAAGGCCTAAAATCCTCTGTTCTCATTGCCTCCACTTTTTTTCCTCTCACTCAGCTATCAATTCTTTGCAATTTGGTTTCTAGTCTCATTATGATTTGCTTGGTTGACTGTTTTTTTGCATTTCCTTTATCCTCACAACTTAGCCAAGTGTCTAAAATACAGTAAGGAGTTAATAAATGCTTGTTGACTGACTGGCATGTTGAACATCATACAACTGAAACTGTTGTCTTCAAGGTTGTCAATGATCTCTTAATTTACAAAATATAATCGTCTCTTCTCAATACTCAACCTCCCTGATTTGCCCATTCCCTCCTAAAAATTGCCTTGCATTTACTTTACATATATTCATATATGTATGGGCCTCCCTTTATAGAATGAAATTCCTGGGGGCATTTTTCTCTGGTACGACCAATCTTTGTGATACTTGATAATGCTTATCATCCTTCTCTTCCTGGATTCTTCCCTCTGCGTTTTCATGGTGCTATTCTCTTAATTCTCTTCCTACCTGTTGGATTACTCCTTCCCACTATGTTTTTCTAGATTATCATCCATGTCCCACCCCCCTAACTGTGAGTATATCCTCAAATCTCTTTCTTAGGCCCTTTCCTACCTGCTGTCATTAACTCCCATGGATTCAATTATCTCTATGCAGATAACAGACATGCATATCCAGCCTTCAGTCCTCATCACCAACTACCAATTAGATATTTCCAACTTCATGTCCCCAGACATCCCAAACTTGACGTGTCCAAAACAAAACCATCTTCTTCCTCAAACCCACACTACCATCCTTCCAGGCACACAGGGCCATCCAACATTAGAATCATCCATACCTTCTCATGTTCACTCCCCTCACACACTCAATCAGCTGCCATGTCTTGTTTATTTCTCTTTAATAACATCTTTTGCATTCATTCTCTTCTGTTTACTCACAATGGCAATCCTTCCCACCTGAGTTCAGATCCACTCACGCATTATATTATAAGCTCCTTGAGGGCAGGGAATGTATTTTATTTGTAGCCCCAGTGCTTAACACAATGACTGGTGCATAGTAAGTGCTTAATAAATGTTTATTGACTGACTCATCACCTCTCACCTGTACTATTGCAGTAGCCTCCTAAGTGGTCTCTCTACCTCAAGTTTTTCTTCTCTCTAGTCTATCCTCTACACAATGGAAAAAGTGACATATTTAAAGTCTGACCATGTCCCCCTCTGGTTCAATAAATAGCAGTGACTCCCTATTACTTCTAGGATCAAAGAAACATTTCATTGTGCATGACATTTCAAGCGCTTCATAACGTGGCCCCAACCTAATTTTCTAGCCTTAGTTTATATTACTCACCATCATATACTCTAAAGGCCGCATGTGGCCCTGTAGGTCCTCAAGTGTGGCCCTTTGACTAAATCCAAACTTCACAGAACAAATCACCTCAATAAAGGATTTGTTCTTTAAACTTGGACTCAGTCAAAAGGCCATACCCAAGGACCTAGAGGGCCACATGTGGTCTTGAGATGGCAGGTTCTTCTCCCCTCGTCTAGCCGAATCACTCATTGTCTTTCCCACCTGACCTTCCATCTCTATGCCTTTGCATGGGCTGTCCCTCACCCCCATGCTTAGGATGAACGCCTTCCTCTCCTATGCTTCTTAGAAAGTTCAGATCAGATGTCACCGATTCCATGAGGCCTTTCCTGATCTCCCACCCTCAATGTATTAGTCCCTGCCCCAATGGCCTTGTACTTATTTTGTATGCGCTTTAAGCATGGCACATAGTAGATCACAAGCTCCATGAGGACAGGGACTGTTTCATTTCTGTCTTTGTATCTTCAGCACACAGTGCGTGACCCCCAACAAGTGCTTAGTAAATGCTGGCTGACCGAGTGATACAGCATGCATTCTCTTTACCATTAATACTTTCCTTAAGATGGCCCACCTTCCAAAGTCAGAAATGCTCACAGTGCATAGACAGATGCCTAACCTATGCACATAGGCTCTACTATGCATTTATATACGTTAAGCCATGCAGCAAGTAAACCTTTTGCAAAGCTAAAGATGCCCAGGAGAGAGGCTGTAGTCACTGGCTCTGAATCAGTCTAATGTTCCTTTCATTTCATGCTGCGGTGATGGCCCTTGGTACATACTAGCCACTGGTAAATGCTTTCTAGTTAATTCAGTGGCCTTAGGGAACGTGTGTTGCTGCTTACCTGCTGTCTCTGATAAGCTGAGAAAGTCCTTTCTAGGTCTTCCAGATCGAGGTTTTTAAACACTTTCAAATCATCAATTTCGGTCCATATGGTTCCTTCTAGTTTGTTCTGAAAATATCAAGATGATAAAATGCTACATTTCCCAACTACATAAAAAAAATCAGAGACAATTGTGTTATAAAGATTGCTGTGGTATCGATATTCATTCTACTGAATGCTGAAAAATGTACTATTGGTATGGACAGACTGGTGTCATTTATTCAGAGGTTTTTATTCCTTAAATCTCTGTGGAAGTGAGGCCATTGAATTCACACTGAGAAAATCAAACCATCCAACAGGCAGGGTCATTTTCCTTTATAGTGAGAGAATCATGCTGCCCATTAGGCACAAAATGACAGGAAATAAATGGCTTACCTCAGGGAGCTTTGACCAGTTGAAGGATTTCAGGGCATTTGTGGGCTGGGGAATGTTTTTCTTCTTGAGGGTCAGACCAAGAGGAGCGCCTGGAGGTGGCATTATTCCTCCTAAAGGAGGAGGTCCTGGTGGGGGAGGAGGACCACCTGGAGGAGGTGGAGGAGGTGCTGTTGGAAGATGGCCTCCACCTGGCAGGGAGGGGGTGGAGGGGGAGGAAGAGATCCCGGAATAGGGGAAGGAAAGGGACTGCCTGGCGCTCCGGGTGAAGGGCCACCTGGAACTGATGCACAAACGGCCCTCTGCAAAAGAGCAAAGGAAGGCTGATCAGTAAACAGTTTGTTTGAAGTCCCTTTTGTAGGTAGCTGAATGGCATAGTGGATAGTGCCTCACTTGGAATCACCAGAGTTCAAATTTGACCTCAGAAATGTTAGCTGTGTAATCTTGGGTATCTCACTTCTCTTGGAAAGTTTAAAATGGTCTTAATAATAGAACTTCACAATGCTGCTGTGAGGCAACCTACGTAAAGCATTTTGCAAACCTTACATCCCAGCTGTTATTTTAGGCTTTGGGGGCTAAAATGGAGAGTCTATCATTACGTGTAAAGTGGTTAATAAGGATTTAATACTTCCAAAGATGGGTAGATAACTAACAATTAAAGTATGTGAATAGACAAGGATTTGTGATTTCTTCAGCATTTGGAACCCCTCGGATACAACTCCTTTTACCAACAGCAGACACTTGTGAAGTTGTGAAGGGAATTCTACACAGTCACACAGCTAATAAACCCCAAGTGAAGTATCTGAATCCTGGCATTCCTGATGCCAAGCCTAGCCAAGCATCCACTACACCAACCACCTCAATATGCAAGGTGTAAAAAAGGTAATCACTGTGATCTTCCTGTCACTTTCTGTATCATTCATTATGTTTTTGTTTCACCTTATATTTAATGTCATAACATCCATGTTCCAAGTACTAGTTTCTTTGCCCTTCTCATAACATTCTTCATAATTTTAGCTTTTGTTTTAAAGAAAAGGAGCCTGAATCTCATCAATGTGTATTAAACTCAATATTATTTTAAAAACTCAACTGCAAATACCACTACCCATCCCCTTTTATACCTCACCCCCAACCCCCATTAAATCAACTTGCCTTCCACATTCTCTTTCTCTGACCTTAAAGGCAGGGAGGGTCTACTGAAAGTTCCATTTTATTTCATTGTATTCCACCAGCCAGAAATCTAGTCAGGTATAGATGAACTCTGGATACCTGCTGGATCGAAATCAGACCTCCATATTTAACCATAAATGGAAAACTGCACAAAGTCCCCTCACCCTGCTGAGTTCTTGGAGCTGTGCTGTGAGGTCAGCCACCTGTTGCTTGACTTGCTTATGTTCAGAGGACTCTTTTTCAAGCTTTTCTTTCATTTTATTTAAGGTCTGCATCATCTCTTCTTTCTCTTGAGTCTTGGCATCACACTCTCTTTCTTTCTTTTCCAATTTCTGCTGCAGATCACTATGTTCTACAAAAACAGGGCATGAAATCATTTTGCCAAAGAAACTCTTCAAAATTACAGGACTTTATCCAAAAAATAGTCACATAGGGAAGATCAGAATATATATTTTTGTTTGCTGGCTTACTCCCCCAATTAATATGAATCAGTCAGTAAATAAATAAATACTTCAGTGCCTGCTATATATTAGGCCTTGTGCTAAGCACTGGGGATACAATGAAAGGTAAAAGACAGTCCCTGTTCTCAAGGAGCATATAGTCTAATGGAGATATTCTCCCTTGATTGTAAACATCGCTATAGTTAGTAGAACCACAGAGAGGAAGCACGTCATACTGGTTAAAGAGTTGACTTGGGGAATTAAGAAGGTCTGGATTCACAGTCCTGGATCTGAAACAAACTGGTTGTGAGACCATGGGCGAGTCACCTAACTTCTTCATGTTCCTAAGTGCTAAGGCAGCAAAGTAATCAATGGATAAAGTGCTAGGCCTGACGTCAGGAAGATCTGAGTTCAAATCTGGTGTCAGGCACTAGCTGTGCAACTCTGGACAAATTTACTTAACCTCTATCTGCCTCAGTTTTCTCAACTATAAAGTAGGGATAATAATAGTGACCTACCTCACAGAGGTAGTGAGGGTGTTGTGAGAGACAATATTTGTAAAGTGCTTGTCACAGTATCCAGCACACAGTAGGTCCTTAATAAAGGCTTGCTCCTCCCCTACTAGGAGCCAGTAAGACTACAAGTTGCAAAGTCAGTTCCAGTCTGCATTGGCAAAGGATTTTTCCTCATACACAGTTCCCAGTATCCTCCATCATTGAAATCACAGGTCCAGTACGGAAAAGCAACAAGAGACTTATATGTACACTCCATTTTAAAGAAGTCCAAGTTCTCCATATCTGATGCTTATATAGCACTTTGAAGGTATGCAAGTCACTCTTCATGTATCATCTCATTTGTACCTATTGTGAGATAGGTTCCATGAGCATTATTTCTATCTTCGAGCGCCATGAAGGGACACTCAGAGCACTTTGTGCCCAATGTCACCCAGTAGGGAGAGTCAGGTCTTTTGGATTCTGAGCCCGGCATTCCTGCCACCACACCCACCTCTGGGCCACTAGATAATGTCACAAAAAGGAAACACTAAGAAAACTAGGGTTGGGTGACCCCAAATTAAGCACTCTTCTATTAGAATTTGAACTCAGTTAGTCCCAAGGAACTCTTGAGAAGAACTCGAGGGAAAACAAATGCTTTATTTTGCAATGCAAAACCAGAGAACGCCAACTCACAGGAAGCAGATTTGCTGGGTTTTATCCGACAAGCCAAAGGACCCTCAGGAAAGTTTTCTGCAACCTGGGGAAGGACTGCTACTACCAGACCAAGTGTTTATTCATTAAATTATTATCTTTCCCACCACCGAGTCATCCATTTCATTCCCCTAAAAGGTGCTCTTAAGATGTTAGGTATCTTACACAGCAGGCAAACAGCAATTAAAATGACAGAAAACAGCATTCTATATGTTAACATATCAATGTCTTCTTGGGGAGGATACACAGGTAGATTTTAGGAAAAGTTAATCATTATGATTTAGGTTGAAAAAGTTGATCGTCAGAGCCAATACATGTTTTCCTGGCCTCAGTATTATGCAATAGGCCTTTGAATGTAGAGTAAGCCTTATTCAAATTACTTTGGCACCATAAGAATGCTGAGCTTTGGAAGGGTGATAGTTTTACTACACTCAGTGCTCTGGTCAGTTCAGATCTGACCTAGGACGCTCAGTTGCGCCCATCACATTTTAAGAAGGAGGTGGACAGAACTAATTCATGTGCAGAGGTGAGTGGCAGGAATGGGGAAAGCTCTCAATTCCACACCATGCAAGATTTGGCTGAAGGAACTTGGGGAGTTCAGCCTAGAGAAGACTCAGACAACATAACAGCTGTGCTCTTAAGTAGCTTCAGGATTGTCAAGTGGAAGAATTAAGACTTATTCTGCTTGGCCCCAGAGGGTAGAATGAGAACCAATGGGTCAAAGCTACAGAGAGATCTACTTGTAGCATATTCCCAGAGTCTATCTCAAAGGTTAAAAAATGTTATTTTCGATCATTTTGTTGTTGTTTGCCTGCAGAGTATTATACTCAGTTCCACATGAGGGAAACGAACAATCAAAGACGTCCACAAATGGAATGGGTCACCTTGGGAAATTTCTAGATCCCTCGGCTACATGCCATCAAACAAGATCTGAATGGCTACTGGTGATATTTGTTGTACGGGAGGGTCATACTTTGGTTAAGCCAGATGACCTCTGACGTCAGTTCCTTTCCAATTCTATGATGTTAATAATAATAATAGCTCATCTTTATATAGCACTATATAAAGTTTACAAAGCATTTTACATTTTATCCCCACAACAACCCTGTGGAGTACTATTATCCTTGCTATCCTAAAAATGAGGAAACTGAGGTTCAGAGAAGTGATTTGTCCAAGGTCCATTCCAAAGCTCAGTAGCTGGTGGTGGGACTTGAGCCCAAACCTTCCTGACGTCGAGTTCAGTAGCCTACCACTGCACCACACTACTTTTCTCATGCTTTATTAAATTCAGTCTATGATCCCTTTTTCAAATCCTTTCCGTTCTCCTATTCTTTTTTGTCTCTCCTCCAACCCTGCCCCCTGGCTTTTAAACTGGGAGATGAAGGTAATGATATCAATTGCCTGGATTCTAGCAAAGCATTTGATAGAGTGTGATATATTCCACACTCTTCCTGTAGAGAAGATTGAGACACGGAACAGACGGTGTTACAAGTACCTGGAGTCAGATGTGGTTGAATGGACTCAAGGAGTGATCATTAATAGTTCAATGCTTATGTGGCAGGACCCCTCCAATGGAATGCCTCAGGGATCTATGGTTGGACCTGGGCTGTTTAACATTTTTTAGTAATAGTACAGATAGCATGCTCAAATCTACAAATTTGGCAAAGCTAGAAAAGGCACCTAATACACTGGATAAGAGACTCAGCATCCAAACACAGATTGACTAGCTAGAGTTTTAGATCAAATCTAAGAAAATGAAACTCAAAGGGATAAATGTAAATGGGTTCAAAAAATTCAATTTTGCAAGTACAGGATTAAGGGAGATGTAATTAGATAGTAGTTTAGGTATGCCTGAAAAAGATCTGGGCAGTTTGATTGACTGTAAATTCAGTACGAGTCAGTAATATTCTATAGCAAACAAACAAAAAGCTAATGAGATCATGAGATGCTGTAAGAGAGGCAAAGGTTTTAGAGATTAGGATATACTACTCCTCTTGCTATACTTTGCCCTGGCCAGTCTTCATTTGGAATAATGTGTCCAGTTCTGGATGCCACAGTTTAAGGAGGACATTGATAGCCAGAAGAGCATCCAAAGGAGAGCAACCAGGAAGGTGAATGGCCTGGAATTCATATCACATTTAAAATTAAAAAAAAATATTTCCCCTCCAATTTTTAACATTCTTTTTTTTTTTAAATTTTGAGTTCCAAATTCTCTCTCTCTCTCTCTCTCTCCCTCTCTGCTTTCCCTCCCCTCTCCCTAAGATGGTAAGCAACCTTATAGGTTATATGTGTGGATGTTGGACATTATCAAGCCAAGACTGGATGGAACGCTGTTGATTATGCAATATTGGAGATTCCTTTTTGGATAAGCATTGGATATAGATGGCTGCTGAAGTACCTTCCAACTCTCAAATTCTGTGATTCTTTAAATCACTAAGTGACCAAGATATAAAGCATTGGGTGATTCCAGAACAGGTTTGAATTACTTTATTTGATTGAAAGATTGGATCAGTTCTTCATCTCTGATCTCTGCTTCTGTCTTCTCTGTTCATTCTGTATCCCACTCCTCCCCCAAAGCAAGAAGCTCTCCAAAGACATCCTAATTTTCTAAAGCCCTTAGCTCTCCATCAGTCCTGCAGAGGTAATGAAGCCAAACCACAAGGCAGTTCTACACCCCCCTCTGCCCCCCACTAAAGCACCTTAATAAACATGACCCTAACCCATGTGGAGCTGCTCTCTATATCCACTTCTCTAACCTATTATCATAGCATTTATCCCTTCTTCCTCCTGACAGTTGCTACATTCCTGCCCTTTATTTTCTCCAGACCTGTGATTTCATTTTTATAGCACATTAGCAACTATTCTGCAGCTTAGTCTTAGTTGCCTGGGGGTTCTGGGAAGTTAAGTGACTTGTCTGGGTTTACAAAGCTCATTATCAGAAGCAACTGGTGTCAGAGGTAGTACTATAATCTCAGTCTTGTCAATTCTGGAGCTCTCTCTCTCCATCCAATATATCATGATGCCTCTCACGTTATCTACTACAAAACTATGTGCTTCCTCCCCCCTCAATATGCTATAATCTCCTATTCCCAAATTGCCTATTAAACTTTGTTGAAAAGAATCAGTTCTTTGGACTTTCTACTTCGGGCTGAGACTTACCACACATTCATTAAATGACAATTTGTTGAGGTCATAGTGTAACATTTCTCCTCTCTGACCTCATTACACTCTTTTTTTTTAACATACACACATATTATTTTGCACTACTTCTTTGAGAGACAAAGAGAGTCCCTACAATGTAAGCTGAAAGAAGACCAACACCATTAGCTCCATTATATACCTCACCTAGCACAGTGTTTTCCACTCAGTGAATACTGCATTGGCAAATATTGTGTTCAGAGTACTGTGGGGTTCTTCTCTGTACTACATTATGCTCTACCACCCAGGGACCACAAAGCTCCCTGCTTTTTATTTTCCTATTACCAACTATTCTTCCAAATCTTTTCTTTCTACCTACCTGTAAGAATCTCCTACGTTCCTTTCATCATTCATTTTATCAACATCACATTTCCCCCTCAAGGCAACATCTCACACTATCTCTTTCCTCACTTTGACATTTGTTATTCCTCTTCTTTATCATTCTCATCCCCTTATATTCTATACCAAGTTCTTTCATTTGTGGTCCTGAAACATCTACTGTTATTCAAACTTTTCTCCTAGGTTTACGTTCTCTTTCCTTTATCCTTAGGCAATTATTCTGTCCCCTTAACAAAAGTTTCTCTGTTTTTCCTTACCATTAAAAAACTGAAAAGAGGAAGAAAAAGCCAGCATTTATTTATGCACTTGTATATACCGCACCCCCCCCCACCCCTTACAATCTGATGATGACTGTGACAATAGCACTTTTCATTTAGTGACTATTCAGAACCCTAGTGGCTGTACCTTTTTTTTTTTACTTAAATGGAGTAGGCAGAATATGATATAGAGAAAGCTGGGCCCAGTTTGTCACCACAGATTTAATTTCAGAGGATTAATAATCCCCATGAGAGATGATTCATGATGAAAGAGTAGACTACTAAAAATAATGATTTTCCATTTGCATCCCTGGTGTTTAGCACAGTACTTTGTACAAAGTAAATGCTTAATCAATGACCTTCTTTCCTTCCTTCCTCATTCCTCTGTTCCTTCTTCCTTCCGTCCTTTCCTTCACAAAGGAGGGGGGAAGGGTCAACATTTATAAAATCAAGAAAATAGTGGCCTCCCTTTTTGTGAGTGGCTGGCACAGAATCAGTCCAAAGTTAGCTCCTCCTTGACTCCTCATCCTACCAGTTATTTGATTTCTGAAAGGTAATACCAATAATATACTCAAAATACCAAAAGCTTGTCCACTAATCTTTTATGGCACCCAAATCTGCCAAAGTTAGTGGTCTTCTGTACTTAAAAACTTTAAATAAAGCTGATCTCAGATGAAGGTGGACATGTGGATATTCTGAGGCTGCTAAGGCCTACAAGAGGCACTTTTACTGTCTCATTTGAAATATCACAGATAAGTCTGCATACTCCTCAGTGCCTAACTGCCTTTTATTTAAACAACCAACAAAAAAAATCCTATCCAAAGAACTAAGTGTAGGAGAGGCCCTGGGGGAAAGAAGGAAGGAAGCAAAGATAAATTTGAATTATTGGGTTCTGAAAGGCAAATGCTAAATTGCTTTTCAAAAGAACTCATGTGAAATCTAGTGAAAAACAAAAACAAAAAAAAAAGGGGTCAGAGGCATGTCAGTTATAATAGCAGATTTATTCAAAAAAAAGCCAAGGCAAAGCACCCTAAAAACCCACAGGTTTATTCATTCAGCACATAAATGTCAACATGTAATATCATAGCAAATTCAGAAAAGATTTAATTTGTAACTTTTAGAAATACTTAATTATATTTCAAACACTTTATTACCTTTTCTCATCCTTTCTGCTTGTTCCTTCCACTGTTTAACTTCATTTTCATTAACCAACCTATATAAACAGAGCAAGATGTTGATGTAGCATTCATTACTAAATAAAAATATCTAAAAGTTTCCTTACTAAATAAATACATAAGGCCAAAGGTGTTTTAAAAAAATCCACTTCAGAGAAATTACCAAATTGCCTAAAAATAAACATGTAAAAGGTCTCTTGAAATCATCTATGATAGATGTAATTATCAATGCAGTGCAATGCAATGTGGTATGGCGCATAAAGAACTGGACTTGAGGCCAGGAAAACCTGGATGGAAATCCTACCTCTGACACATAATGGCTATGCAACCTTGGACAAATCATTTAACTTCTAAGTTTCCTATACCATTAAAACCACAAATCCAGTTCCTGATCCCTTTTCCTTATTAAAAAAAAATGTATAGTATTTACTAGTATTTTGGAATGAATGAAGTACAGGTGTTTGGTGTATTTGTGAAGAGAGCATAGTATACATTAGCATAGCATGTAAAAAAAAAAAGGAAGAAACTTACATTCGTACAACATTTTTGACATTAAAATTTTCTAGAGGAGTAGAATTGGGGTCCTGCCCTTTGTCATTCTGTATAACAATCTGTTGTACAATTCTATCTAGTAGCAGCCAATACTGGACTGTGTTTCCACTTCTCTTGTCTAAAAGAGAGAAAGAAAGAACATAAAAGAAAAATTAAATGTGTAATTATGCTAACTTCTCATGAAAGGGAGGCTCCTGCCCCTGACAAGCATTCTAGGCCAGAGGTGTCAAACTCTAGTAGACAGCAAGGGAAAGGAAGAGGATATTTAAAAGTATTTATATTATCTATACCAACAACCCTCAAAGTTCTTGGAGATCAGGGGACTATAGATTCACAGCTGGAAGGGACTGGAGAGTTCCAATCACTCCATCTTATAGATGAAGGAATCAAAGCCCAGAAAGGTTGACTTGCCCAAGATGGTAATACCCTCCCTAGTGTTGCGCTCTCCACCTTCTTCTAAAAGGACTGTGAGGTATACATTCACTTTTAAACTTAATTATAATTTGTTCTATTCTGAAAATTTCATAGTATCCCTTTAAATAACTGAAAATGCCTTGGTGGGGAGGGTGGTGTGTGTCAGTAAACTATGACCTCAGGCCCAAATTCCACCTTCCTCCAACTAGCGAAGAAAGGGTCCTCTCTGATAATATCTAAAATGTTAACCACTATACTTTTAATCTTAGTCCACATGAAAATGGTGTCTCTACTTACAAGGCATCTGGAGACAGTGGTACAGGATAGACATGAAGTGAGGGTAAGCTTCACTGTGAGTCAACCTCTTCCTTGTCAGCTCAAACATTTGTGTTGCACTTTTTGTGTCTATGTGAACCTATTTCACATAAAAAGCAAATCTAAGTCAAACATTCAGGTCTTCTGAGGCCATCTGATATTTTCATAGGATTCACTTAATGCAAGGTAACCAAATTTACATTGAACAACTTAATTCAAACATTTCAGTACCAGGAGAAAACAAGACAGAGAGAAGAGAGCCAAATTAGGAGGGGAGGGAGGGAGGGAGGGAGAGGGAGAAAAAAGGAGAGAGGGGGAGAGAGAGAGAGAGAGGAGGGAGAGAGAGAGAGAGAGGGAGAGAGAGAGAGAGAGAGACAGAGAGAGAGAGAGAAGAATAGGAAAAGAAAGGGGGAGGGAGAGGTGAAGGAAGGAAGGAGACAAAGGAGAAGAGGAAAAGGATAGAGAGAGAAGGAGGAGGAAAGAGAGGGAAGGAAAGGAGGGGGAGAAGAAGGAAGAGGGAGAGAGGAAGAATATACATATTATTTATATACACACACACACACACATATATATGTATATATATATAATATACACACACATGCATACACACATATTAATACTACACATATATCAGATATCACCTGATCTATATCAGAACCATCATATATGTGTACATATACTTATACATGATAATTCCAGAACAAAGAGCATTTCTCTCATATATGGCGAATAAGCCAATCACCAATAATCGAAATAGTCATGCACATACACACCAATTCAAATCTTTTGGCAAATTCCAGCTCATCTTCATTTCTGAGCATTTCAAAAAAATCTAAGTGCCTGACAAAAAAAAAAGAAAAGAAAAAATTCAAAGAAATGTAATTAAAAGCCAAAAACAGTCTAGGAATGCCTACAATTAATTACAAGGGTTCGAACTCTGGATTTGGAGAGGGTCTAAAGTACTAAAAGGAATCAAGACAAACACCATCAAAATAAAATTATAAGGAACATGTACAACATAGGGATGAGACTTTTCACCATTTGGGAAGTCTAGATTTCTCAAAAAATCCCTTAAAGAAACTACAAATTGAATAAGGAAACCTGTTGCCTACAGCTGGCAGGAAGTTAGAAGACTTGTCATAGAAACAGTGATAAGACTGTAAGAGACAGAGGACAAAAAAGGCAAAAGTGAGAATGAGCAATACTTAATGGTTTAACTTACCTGTCTAGTGTCAAGTTTTCATGTTCCCTTAATTTATCTATTACAGGCTGAATTCCTAACATCAAAAATTCATATCGAAGATGAAGTCTAAAGTCCAAACTTTCCTGAAAGGAAGCACAATTAAGCACATTTAAAGTTTTCTGAATATGGACATCAAGTAGATTTTGATCAAAATTTTATTTAAATGCAAAAGCACAAAATGTTCCTACCACTCCAGCCCCTTGGCTTAGTACTGCATTAATGAAGGACATGATGGCTGTCTTGAGGTTCACTTCATCCCGGTATCGGCCTGTGCTTTTATCCAAGTCATTAATTAGCGTCTATCAAGTGCACAAATAGATAATGAAAAGGGTTGAATCAGAGCTAGCATGATATTAAATTAATTTTATTAAACTTTCCAGTACTTTGAAGCTCAAAAAAATCTAGTGTTTACTTATCATAATTACCTTAAGAGTCCTCATTTTAAAAGTTAAGATATTTTATGTCCCTAAAATGCTACTAGATTTAAATTCATATGGAAAATGCACCTGGTATGTAGGTATCTGTGCATTCGGCCCTCAATTTCTGATCTTTATGACTGGTTAATAAAATGGTTGCATCAAGTTTTCCAAACTTGTCCCCCTAAAATCAAATGGATAATTGGGAATTTCTCAAGGAAGATTCCTCCTTTTGAAGAGATAGACAATGTTTATTACAAATCCCAGTTAAGGATACCACAAAAGGTGATACATTAAAAGAGCAATGTTGCAATTCACGAGGCCCCATATCTTTGGTTTGGTCAGGGACAGGCATCATCTCCCACTGAAACCAAGACAAAAATGGTTGAGGGAACAGGACTAGACTCTTAAGTGACGTTAAGTATAATCATCTTCAAAATGGAAAGGAATAATTTATGGTCCTACTTCAAAAACAAGTCTATTTTGCAAGCATGTGACTTATGAATTAGAGACCACATACCTGAAAACGAGTTCTTTCACTGGCATACTTCTGGTAATGTAGCATGGCCTGCAGAACTTTTTTGTGACCTCCGGGAACCAGGCACACAGCGCCCATGATTTCCAGCACTGCCACCTTTGTCTTAATGTTCTCAGTGCTCAGACTCTGAGCAATTACATTAATACTCTCTGAATGGGCCATAACATGAGCCCGGCCTTGAGAGTTATTCATTAGCGCTTTTATACATCCAATAAGTGAGGTATGTATTTGAGACTCTGATGTCTCATAGTCCATGGTTTTTAGAAAGTTCAGAATACATGATAAGCCATCTAAATCAATAAATCTGGTTACAAACCTGTCAGGAAAATAGATTAAAATTAAGACAACTGAAAGTGCTTCCTGTCTGCTCCTCCACCCCCTCTCAACCCTCAATACCAACACAGTTCTTAAGCAGAAAATCTGTCTAATGCTTAAGACTTGACCAATATCGGAACTCTGCTCTGATATTTTTTTACTGCAGAGCTATACACAGGGCTGATCATCCTTTGAATCTCATTATTACTCAGAAGTGTTCCATTTTTCATAGTGAGAAATGTAAACACTCCTCTCTAAATGACTGTAACCTTCTATGCTTTCTCTTCCTATATCTCACTTCTCCTAAATCTATACTTTGCCCTCACTGAAGGCTCCAATCCTTCTATTCCTCAGTACTTTCTCAGGCCATTACCCCTTCTCTGACTTCGCTATCCTCCCTTACCAATCTTGACTCTATATTTAACCAATTAGGTTTCATACAAAGAGGACTGGGTTAATGAAACATCAAAAGGAACTTATTAAAATATCAATTATAAGGCTTTCCCATGGCATAGATTTATGTCTTAATGGTAAGGCAATGGTATAGCTATGGAAAATCTCAACTGATGGATCTTCTCTCATAATAACACTTACAGATGACAAGAATCACACAGAAAATAGGGAGTTGTAAAGGAAATAATCTTTTTTTTTCCAGATTGTAGTTATGCATTTATTTCTTCATTATACCCAGTCTCAATGTATTTTAGTATACTATTGAACTCTGCTTCTCTACTATCCCCTTCCTCCATATAAATGGTGGAGTAAGAATATTTGTAAATACTAGGCCAGTTTAGCACTAAATATATGGAGTCTAGATGACTAATTCATAGATATTCACAGATCAGGGTACCAGTGGAGCCTGCATTTCTTCCTGAAAGCTTTGAATCATGGTTGTAAAACACATCTACAAAGCATTCCATATCCCTTAGGTCTCTCAACTAAGACACTCTTATTCTTCAAAAAGTATACCTGAAGATAGCTTCTAAGAGGCAGTAGAGAAAGTATAAATTTTTATTTATAGATTTATATTACATAAATTTATAAAAAAAGTATGTATTGATATTGCTTTATACATACATATATATATATATATATATGTATATATAAATTACATGTAATTTATATAAAGGAGATATAATTTTTTAGTGCTATTTCACAATACACAGGTCTTATGATTTAAAAAAAAAAGGTTCAAACATTTGACCTAAAGTTTCCGTGGAGAAACTAGCAAACACAATTCCCTTGTCCATATCTTACCAACATCGGAAAAAAACACCTATAGAATTGTGTACGACAGTCCTAAGTGAAGAAGATCCCAGTTATTTCTTTTAACAATGAGTTTTCCTATCACAGAGACCAAGATTTTGTCCTCACAAATGAATGGGTGTTTGTGATATATGCATTTAGTACTTTGGGGGGGGGGAAGGAAGAGAAGAGACAGATGGACTTTATATCTTGCAATTATCTAGCTTTCTTTTACATATTTGTGTATGTATCATATTCCCCTAAAAAAGGGTAAGCTCAAAGAAAATAGTGACCATGGCTTACTTATATTAGCATATCTGCTGGTGCTATGCACAGAATAGGGGTTTAATAAATATCTACTGAAATGAGAAGAAAGTAGATGGATAGGAATGTAGATGGAAGATAGTAGGGGCAGCCAGGTAGTGCAGTGGATAGAAGGCTGGGCCTAGAGTCAGGAAGACTAATCTTGCTGAGTTCAAATCTGGTCTTAGATACTTCCTAGCTGTGTGACTCTGGGCAAGTCCCTTAATTCTGTGTGCCCAATTTCCTCATCCATAAAATGAGCTGGGGAAGGAAATGGCAAATCACTCCAGCATCTTTGCTGAGAAAACTCAAAATGGGGTCACAGAGAGTCAGACACAACTGAAAAAAAAATAACAAAAAGATGCATAGGAGGAGGTAGAACCATGGTGAGAATAGCCTTCTCTTATAGGACCTGTTGGATCATTTGGGATCTTACGCTGACTTTCTCATACTTCTGACTTCTCCTTAAGACTATCTTTAGAAACTCTGAAGAGATACAAAGCTGGATTAAGTCATTAAAAGACTCATTTTCATAATTTCTTCCCATAGAGAGTGAACATGCCTCTGCCAGACAACTAATTGACAGAAGGCTAGTTAGATCTCACCTAATTTATATTTCACTGTCAGTTTCTTCATCTTAGAAATAGGCAGTAATAGTACTTTGTCCTAACTACCCCCACAGGGTTGTTGTAGGGATCAAAGGAGATAATGGGCATGAAAGTGCTTCGTAATCATAAACCACTGCACCAACATAAACTATCTGATAATGGGAGAACCTTCTTATTTTCCAGTCATCTGATGTAGACCGTAAGATGGAGATCTAACCAAAGTTGATGTGCCAGCTGTACTTCATTCTGAGCACCTGGATAATCCTCAATCACTATGAAACCCCACGGGAGCTCTTGGAAAATGGCGGGTGAGGCAGCTCTGCAGTGAGGGGCAGGTGGAAGAGAGGAATTCTCAACACCACAGAACCTCCTGCCAAGTGCCAACCGGAGGAAAGACAGAAAAAATTGACCTGAGAGAAAAGAAGTACCTCATAGGTTTTGTCCTCAGTGCAGTCTTCAAACTTTCTATTGTTTTACTTCTTTCTTCTTCCTCTTCTTTTTCTAAAATTAGCAAGGATTTTCTCTATGGGAAGAGAGTGAAATGGAGGTGGAATCACAAACTGGTTCTCCTTACAGGTCAATAAAATCACAACAAAGTCACAAGTCCATAGCAGGGATAACAGCTCTGTTATTGACCGAGTTAATGAAAATAAGCCATGCAAAAATTGATAACTTCTAGATCAAAACCCATGGCAACCAACTCCAAGGACCATCTACATACTCCTGTTATATTAGGCCTCAGTCATTTTAAGAATGCTGCAAGGACCACCTACGGTCTCAGAAGAATGAAAATGAAACCCAGTACCCATCTCTTGCTAGAGAGGCAAATGACTTAAAATGCAAAATGAGACATGTTTTTGAACACAGCCAATAAATATAAAAATTTGCTTTTCTTTATTTTTTATTTTATTCTTTTTATATTTTATTTTTATTTATAAATTTATATATATTCTTTATTTTAGCTTATTTTGTATGAGTGTTCTTTTCTTCTTTTTCCCCTCTTTCTTTCTTGCTGTTCCTTTTCTCTGTCTTTGGTGAGTTCCTCTGGTTTCCATTTTGAGGAGGGGTCCAAGTTGGACATACTTCACTACCACTCTAGGAGTACCTCTTCCACCCCTCCCTTTTGTGTGCTGTCTTCTTCCACTAGAATGTAAGCTCGAGGGTAAGGACTTTTTTTCTTCTTATATTAGCTCCTTGAGGGTAAGGACTTTTTTTTTCTTCTTTTAGTAGCTCCTTGAGGGTAAGGACTTTTTTTTTCTTCTTATATTAGTTAATATAGCTAAGCATAAGGCATAGCACATATCATAATCATTCATCAAATGCTTGTTGTCTACCTGCCTTTTGGTCAACAAAACTTTGTTTTGCAGGGAATGAAAGGAATGAAAATAAGTGTTTTTTAATTAGAAAAATAATAATTAAATTTCAATAAAAATGTCTTAGTCACAGCAAATATTTGAAACAAGTCAGAGTTTGGAAATACTTTGTATATACGGAAATAGATACACAAAAAATGCATCTTATAATCATACTGTAATGTAGATCTTCTGATTGCACAAAATGGAGATTAAATCCATAGTCAGATACTATATTTCTAGCCACCGAAGTCTAAAAGAGAAGTCTACTTCATACTGTGGGAATACAGGGAGCAAATAAAAAGCAGTCAAGAGGGTACCTGAGATCAGAGAGATTTTGTTACAAAAGTTCAGTGAGGTTCCTCTAGAGCTTTCCCTGACTCCTAAGATCACTGAGCCCCAGAGGAAAGCTGGGGAAGTGAAGATACATAAATTCAAATGCGCTTGCTCTCTTGGGATATAAAAGCTCTTTGTGAATAGGTAATAAGCCTTATTCAGTCTTTGTACAGGGCCAAGTGTACCATGTAAAGCAGATAAATTTAAATTCTTCTAAAAAAAATCAAAAGAATAGTTAAATTTGGCCTCATAAATAAATATAATCCTTATGGACAACTACCCCGAGGATCAGCTTCTTCACTTGAAGATGTTATTTAGGCAATGAGGACACTTCTGGCATTACTTTCTAAGGGTTCTTTTGAGAGCTAACTCAAATAAAAGCGCTGATAAACTACTCCAAGAATATGATAATTGAATATGCAAATCTTATTATTAATGCCTATAAGTTTGCAGACTTATTGAGAGGTCTATTCCCTTCCCCTCCATTTTATAGGATCTACTTTTTGTTTTTACAAATGTTCTTAATTCCCACTCTCTCATAAGCTCTTACTGATGCAATATAATCAATTACTTAAATACTACAAAGCTACTAGCTACTCTTTTTTATGCTTCAACTCAACCCATGCTGGACTAAATTCAGTTTTGCTACTTTTATTAGTATTCTGAGAAAATTTTTGCTTGAGAAAGAAGGAGGGAAGGACAGAAGGGGCTTCACTTAATTTATGTAGGTTTCAATAGCTCATACCCTCTTTTCTTCATTTCTATAGATCACTTAAAGGGTGGCTATAATACTTTTTAGTAAATCTGTGTGAGATATGCACATAAACAGTGGCAGTGTCAGATTTAAGTAATTTAAAGTCAAGGATTGAATGTTGAAAATTAAAAATAAATTTTTAAAAATAATAAAGTGAAGGATCACACTCTCCCTGCTTCTCTTTAATACAAGTATTTCACTTCAAAATGGGAAAGAGATGAGACCTGAAGGAAATGACTGCATCATTAGAATCCACAAAAACGGCAAATAACATGACAGTAAATTTAGAAGACACAATAATGTTCTGTTATGTTATTAGCTGTCTTCTTGCTGGTGATTCTGTTGGACAGCTAGCTGTCAGTATGTTACAGAAAATGAAGGTGCCCTGCAGAAACAGCCACTGAACTCCATCACTGTTTCTTGAAGCTCATTCACTGGAAAATTCAGCATATATCTCACAAAGAACATTTAATCTCCCCCACAGCTGAGGCAGTTTTAGATACTGAAGCAATAACTCTGAATTTGTAGCTAAGAATCAATTCATTTGTGAACATGACTTACCTGTTGCTAAGGCTGAATTGAACTCACCGAGTATTAACAAAAACAAGTCAGTTTTTTTAATAACTCATTTGATAATCAAATATCACAAGCAAATACTTTGCATTGTTGGCTATGAATACTGAATAAAGAATGCAATTATTCATTCTTTTCAGTATCCTTAAGCTAAGAAGCGTGGCTGAAGAAGAAATTTGCTTTTGCCTTTGTGGAATTAGGGGCTTTAAGAAACAGTTTTTGTTGAAAGAGAATTTAAAATGGAGCATTGCTGACTTTCTCTCAACCAAGGATAATCCGTGTCCTCTTCTGTACAGGAAGCTAATGAACTGACATTTAAGACAGAACCTGTTAGGTACAAACACTTTAGGGTAGGAAAGGGCAAGAGGTGAACTATACACTATTCTAGAATGTCTTTAGGACCAAAATGACCCCTCAAAAACCCATTCAATAGTTTCAAAAGTTGGCAAGCTTCACATTAAGAACTAGGTCTAAAATACTTTTTCATGATTTGGGAGCGTTGGGTCAAGTGCCCAAGTCACTGGGGCTCACTACTGCTTGTGAGATACTCATCTCCCAATATAAACTACTATGATAATCAAAAATGAGTATCATATATATATGTGTGTGAGCACAAGTCTGACCGTGCAGTCAGACTTCATAGCGTTTTGTTCTATATGGAACATAAACTATGGGGTAGCTGGCAGTCAGACGGAAGGAACTCTGGCAAAACAATTTTGTTGTCAATGCAAAACAGGCAAATGTGTGAGCTGTGGGCAAATGAGGTACTACAAACTCTCATGGGCTGTAATGACTATTCATATACCATGAAATGGGACTGAGTTCCTGCAAAAATTAGCTAGAAATTAAGCAGTATTTCTTTAGTTAGAAATAAACCATTCCTTAAGTATTCCTGTATTTAATATCATCTCTTCTTTTGCATGAGACTGTATCAAGAATCTGAACCAAGAAGGGTACACATCAAACCTATACAGTTGAATTTATCATACTGTTATTCACTCTTGAAAAGAACCCCTTAATAATATGTTGCTTTATAAAGGACAAAAACCTGTTTGTTATGAAGCATTAAATAAGTGAACCAAGTCAAAACATCATCTTCACTGAGGGCAATTCCATGCCCAATCCACGAGACAAAGGAATGGGAGATAGCTGTGTGAGCCTGGGCAAGTCACTTAACCCTGATTGCCTCACCAAAAAAGCAAAAAAAAAAAAAAAAAGAATGGGAGACCAGTAACAGCACCACCACCACCAGATCTGAGGTCACTCTCCAGAGATGAAGGATCCTGAGTGTTCTCTGGTCCTAGAGAATAAGCTCATTTAAAGATCTGATTTATGTCTTCTCTCACCCATTCCCCACCAGGTATTCAATATGAATCTCAGGTAGTTACCAGAGAGATCAACAGAAGTTGTGGGAGTTTTGGGTAACTTGAACAAAAAGGTATAAATCCTACCTGGTATCCTCTGATTTCATAAATGTTTTGTATTTGGTTTAACAACACGGCAGAATGGAAAGTATAATGGATCCGATATGAATCTAACATCCAAGTCTTGCCTCTGCCACTTGGGAAGGTAACAAAATATCCTTAGAAACCTTAGGTTCCTCATGTGAAAAAAAAATGGACTCCAGCTCTCCTGTTCTTTAGTTTTATTATATTAAACAAGGAGCTCCAGGCTTCATCGGGTCATGAAACACTGATTCCCTTTGGCCTTTGATTCTCATAAAGAGCTGACCCAATCCATTAAAAAGGAAGTGAGGATAAAAAAAAAAAAGAGGGGAACTGTAGGGTAAATGAAATAACGAATAACCTCTTTAATGCCTCTGGTATGTTCTTTGAAGTATCAATAGTATTCAGTTCCAGGATTTTGAATCAAGTACTGATCATAAGAGTGTAATAGATAGCCAAGGAAATGGGCAAGAAGTAGTGGGTCTCAAAGAACAGGCACATTTCAGAATATTGAAAACTTTCTAAAGTAGATTCAGCACTTATTTGTGCCAGGAAGGGCATAAAATAACCCACCTTTAATTTTATTTTGCCTAAAATTTTGAATGAAAGTTCTAAACTATGGTATTTAAGTACTTTTTAAACCACAGAATTTAGCAAGAAAATTTTAAATTCCTTAAATTTTAGATTCTTACTTATCAAAAAGAAATTTTTGCTTTCTGACGTTAAATAGCTTGTCTTAATAAGAAACATATTTTCTATCAGTTTCTTTCATCAAGAGCCTAATTTAAGAATTATGAAAACCTTTTTTACAAATATGTACATGGCCGCACTTTACTACCTTTGACTGGACAGCTGCAGAGACTTTTCCAATAGTCTCCAAGAACCTTTCACATTGCTGGGGCCATCACTAACATGCTGAAGTCATTCCTTTCTGATCCTTTTTTCCCCTTCTTTAAAAAAACATAACGTGGGGGAGTGATTAGTGACAATTGCGAAAGAAATAGATTTAGTCTCCACTTTCTGTTTTATTCTCCTTTAGCTTTTAGACTGGAAACCCTTAGAGTAGAGGCTTATTCCCTTATTTCTCCAGGCATTGCTTACGTTTGCCAGGCTAACAATTTGTTTAATATGCAATATTATTATATTTATATTATATTATTATATATTATTGTATAATGTTATATATTGTTACATGTATTATATTTAATATACAATATACAACAGCAATCAGAGCATCCACAAAGGGGAAAGCAGGACATGTAAAAGTTTAAGTCTTCAAAATTCTAGTAAAAATGTGAATAGTTCACTTATCATGAACCTATCATAGTCTGTTTCAAACTTTTGCAACAGCAGCAAAATATTGCGTTTCTAAACGTGGAAGATGAAGATTTGGTGAGCATAATGTTCAGTTTCAAACAAGGAGAGTTATAGGTAGGAAAATGAGTTCAAGATTACATTTTAATGAGAGAGAACATATTTTTTTTCTCCATAGAGGATTTCAAAGATGCAAGGTAAAAATGGGAAAAGCAACTTTTATGTAAGCTGTTACAGAAGGATGTGTTATGAACTACAAATTGTCAGATAGCCACTGAAAAGTTGGGGTAGGCTGGGAAGGAGAAAGATTACATTCTACAATTAGCAACCAAAATATTTATTTTCACTTAAGCTATTGAACATGAGAAATTTGGCCAGTTCATTTTTGTTGAATGTTTTACATTTAATTAACAATATGCTTTAGCTAATGTATACCCAGAATGGAGAGACTTACGTGCTCAAAATACATATTTTGGGCAAGTTAAGTACACTGCGCTAGGAATCCGTGTTCCAAGAGGATTCCCAAGGACATTTCAAGGCTATTTAGTTCACTTTAATTTTGTCAGTCATCCTGATATTTCCTTGTGTTTTATACTCCTGGAAGAATACACTGGCATTTCTGAAAGGAGAATCTGCCTACTTCTTTAGAGAGTAGAAGGATAAAAAGACCAGCAATCTATTACTGGATGAGACCTTGGAACTCACTCCCAAGTAATACAGGAAATATGAAGTATTAGTGGAAGAATTCAACTTAACTATATTAAAATTGCATTAATTTCCTAGGTGTTGCCCATGTATCCAGATGAGTAGTCACAGGGATGCAAGCTCAAGATGAATGTAAACCAGATTTCAGGAGATTAAATTTCCTGTTATAATATTAAAGTCATATTTTATTGCATGCTTTTACTTAGAACATATTGGAGAAATTATTTTACTGACTTTTTAAAAGAGGATCTTAACATGGATTGTCAAAAGATAACGGTATTAGAATGTCTTACCCAAGTGAAAATCTTCATAATTGATTCTAGGGTATTTACTGTGCAACAGTGCTTTGTACCAGGCTTATTTTTCCCCACTGTGTCATAATACATAAAATGTACCTACAGCAGCCATAGAGTTTAGCTGATCAATATAGAACTCAGGCCAACTTGTAGCTCCCTTGTTTTCTTCCTGATCCTAAAGGGGGAAAAAAGAAGATAGCAAAAATTAGATAACAGGAGAATAATATCTAATAAATGTTTACATGTACATAATTCCAGGGCAATGCTGAGTTGATAAATGGCATTCCTTTTCCAAAACATGCAGGTACTTTAGAGTAAAGCCCATATAGTCAGGTAATGAATCAATCCTCCAAAATGCCCACTTGACCGGGAAGATGTTCCTGATGCCATCTCCTCAGAGAAATCTACAGGTATGAAGAATAACATAGCCCCTGAAGGGCATTTTCTGGTTCACATAGCACATAGAAATAACAAGAATGCATTTTAGATGGTAAATCAATTATCATTGTCCATTCTCAAAGAGGACTAAAATGACATTACTATGTTTGGGTCAAAGTCCAGTGTGTCCAGCTGTGGCTGATAATACCAATACTAGCTCGGAAGGCTCTACCACAGGTTAGGCATAAATAATCCATATGAACATTTCGAGTGGATGTGTCTCTAAATTTGAGCTACTGTATGGTTAAGGCAAATCTTCAAAGATGCTTTTCAAATAACAGTCCCCTGAAGGCAATGAGTTTTATTGAATGGTCAAGTGGTCTCGAGGTTCTGAACTGCACCAACTACAGTATAGTAGGATGAATAAATGCAAATGAAACTATAAGCAAAAAACCTGTCCTAAATTATGCTTCAGGTTACTTCTTCATCATCATCATCATCATCACCACCACCACAATCTACATTTAAATAGTGCTTCAGTGATTTTGAAAGCACTTACATATGGTTTTTAGCTAGTCTTCATAATTCTATAACATAGAAAGGACAGGTATTGTCACCATTTTATAAACAACAAAACTGAGACAGAGAAATTAAGTGATAAGCTCAAGTTTACCTGGATAAAAGTGGCAGAGCTGGGAATAGAGCATTTTCTTTATTACCCAAACTATTACCTACTTATCCCTTCACAATAAAGCATTCTTATATTGGTTATTCAGCCTCCAGGGGACAGTTAAAAAAAAAAAGATTCATTGGGAGATGGCTAAATCTCCTGCAATAGATAAAAAATGGGGTAAAGAAGAAATAACACAGGATTTAGCCATTCCTCAAATGAAAAGTAGTGAGCTTCCTACATCTTGGTAAACGGTTCAAGAGAGGGAAATAGTGTCAGATTGATTAAAATGAAGATACAGCAGACCTGGGGTTAGAAGTCAGAAGTTTAGGCCTCATTGAGCTACCTGATCCTAATTCCTGACATAAACCCCAAACCTGCTTCAGTCTCCCTTCCCAGAGACTGACAAAGTGTAAATGGCCTAAGGCTAACCTAAGTCCCCAGTGCTACTGTGGATCACTGGGAATCATTAGGGCTACAGCCTGAATGGGAGGTAGGGATGAATGAGATGGGAATTAAATGTGTTGGTCTATAGTTCCAAATATTCCAACAAACAAATATTCCAAAAATATGATAGATGCATGTTTATGCATAAGAGCTACATTAGTAAAATTATCCTTCATACTAGAAAATAACACTACTTTGGGGGATTCCCAAACAATAGTGCAAGTGTGATTAAAATCAGAAATATGACCAGAGGTCTTTTCCAGGCTCAAGAGTACCATACAAACTACTTTATAGCTTGGAAAAATGGAACTCAGACATTCCTTTAGTTTGACAGTTCTGTATTTTCTTGTTTGTTTTCTCTTTTTTAAATGTATTATTTTAACCTTTTAAAAAAATGTGTTCCAAATTTTCTCCTTCCCAGCTCCTCCCCCATTCATTGAGAAGGAGAGCAATATATTAATTATACATATGAAATTATGCAAAGCATAGTCCCATATTTTCAAAGAACAATTAAAAATTTCTATTAAACATTTCTGCAGGAGAAAATAGAACTGTGACAATTGTTTACTATTTAATAATGTAGTAGATACATTTGTAACATTTGATTTAATAGCTGACAATTAAGGGTAACACTATGAAGGAATATGGCTAGGGACATATTATTGCTGTTATCATCATTATCCAAATCCAATTACCTATTGTAGTTGTTTCAAGTTGGAGCATTTTATTCTCTTGTTATAGTCAGTCAACTAGCTTTTATAAAGTACCTATAACATCCCAGGCATACTTCACCATAAAAAAAACTTTTTAAAGTCATTTTTCAGTCATCTGACTCTTTGTGACCCCATTTGGGTTTTCTCGGCAAAGATATTGGAGTAGTTTGCCATTTCCTTCTCCTGCTCATTTTACAGATGAGTAATTGAGGCAAACAGGTTTAAGTGACTTGCCTAGGGTCACACAGAATATCTGAGGTCAGATTTGAACTCATGAAGGTGAGTCTTCCTGATTCTAAGCCCAGTGCTCTATTGAACCACCTAGCTGCCCCACAAAACACTTTACTGTAAATAAATCTTTGGAGATAGATCTATTCTGAGAGGGAGGAAAATAAGTTTCATATTGGAGAGTCTCATGTAAAAGGGGTATGTACTACATTAAGCTGGTTAGCAAGTCTATATTCAGCAGCGTCCATGAACTTTATTTAGAAAGTAGGCACTAGACGATTGAACAAACACTAGAGAAATGGCTTTGATGTTGGACTCCGTTACACTTCAGAGTAGCACTGGATACAATTTTTACATAAGTAAACAAAATGGCTAGATTGTGGCCTAGATACTAGTCCGTAGCCCCACCTCCTTTGTATTTTTTTCCCCCTCCCCTCAAAGGATTACTAGGCTCAATTTCAACATTACTAGAGTATTTAAGAAGCCCAAATCCATAACTATTCAACGGAGTTTGGAGATACAAAAGGATAAAATGGTGCTGAGCTGAGGTAAATTTCCAAAAGTCAACCAAAATCATTTGTACATCAGAGATCATGTGAAGGCCTGCCCAAGTTAAGCTGTACTAGACACTATTACAGAAGAGAGGTTCTAAACCAGATAAGCAAGATTATTGTCTGTACTGACAGATTCCTTTACATGTTGTAAGCATGCAGTAATCTAAACAGATTATCAAAAGTAAACTTGATACTGTAGTCAAAACAGAAAAGAGGGGAGGGAGGGAACCCTCTGTAGCTGAATTTGAAATTGTCATACAAAATAAAGGAATTCAGATAGAAACCTTAATATATCTTTCTCAATAACTTGCTTTGTTGAATGTATATGTCACATACAAATTCTTCATGAGTGCGTGCCTTCTAAACTGTTCATGAATGGCAAAGAATCCAGTAAATAATGCCTTCTTAGAAATGAGAAAAGTTCTATCCCTTCTCAGTTGGATTTTTCCTCTCTCTCCACCCCCTTCTAAATCTCTCCATCTTCCAAATCATCAACCCTTTCAAAATATCTATTCCTTTAATCTATCCCAACCAAGGTGAGTGAGTAAAGGAGGGAAAAAAAGACCATGTTTTGCCACTTAAACATGAAAATATTATGTGGCCGAGTCCATATACATTCTCTATTCCTAGATTCAGGGAAAAGGGATCTATCCTTTAGGTTAGGTTTAGAGGTCAGCCCTCTGAGAAAGTATATTTATATTTGTCTAAAGAAATCACATAGTTGGTGTGAGCTGCCTCAGGGCTTAGATGATCAGATATCCCATTTTTATAGGGTTATGATGTTCTTGCTTACTTTTGCTTAATGAATGGAAAAGTTCTATCATCTTAGTAATGTCTCTCTTTTTTATTGATGCTTTTTCTTTTTTACATCAAAGTGATCTTGGAATATGCCCTTTCCCTTTCTCCTCTACCCAGTGAGCCTTCCTTTATATCTAACAGGAAAACAGTTAAACAAAAGTAATATACTGACTACATCTAACAATATGGTTTCCCACCTTTCTAAGGAAAGAAAGGAAGTATCTTTGTGTCTCCTGCCAAGAAAAGCTAAGTCATCATAATTGAACGATTTCCTTTTATTGTTCTTTCCATATACTACATTACATATGTAGGGTTTTCCCCCCTTGGTTCTGCTTACTTCACTCTTCACGAATTCATACAAGTCTTCCCATGTTTCTCTAAATTTCTCATATCAATTAGCAGAATGATTTCAGAAAAACCTGGAAAGACTTACATGAACTGATGCAAAGTGAAATGAGCAGAATCAGGAGAACACTGTACACAGCAACAGCTATGTTGCACAAAGACCAATTGTGAATGACTTAGCTATTCTCAGCAATTTAATGACTCAAAACAATTCCAAATGAGTTATGATGAAAAATGCCATTCATATCCACAGAAAGAACTGATAAGAGTCTGAATGAAGATTGACGCATACTATTTTTCACTTCATTTTTTTTTGGTCTGTGTCTTCACATGACTAAAATGGAAATATGTTTTGCATGATTGTGCATGTATAACCTGTATCAAACTGCTTTACTGTCTCAGGAAGGGAGATAATTTAGAACTTAAAACTTTAAAAAATGAATGTTAAAAATTGTCTTTACATGTAATTGGGAAAAAATAAAATATCATTCAAAACAAATGAATGAGTGAAGTTCTCCTATCAAGCATTGTCTGATGGCACAATAAAATTCTACTACATTCATTTACTACAATTTGTTTAGCTCTTCTCTAACCAAGGAGCACATTTTTTTTTAGAAGGCATCTAGGTAGTGTAGTGGATATAGCACTGGGCCTGGACTCAGGAAACCTGAGTTCAAATATTTCCTTAGACACTTACTAGCTCTGTGATCCTGAGCAAGGCACTTAACCTCTGTTTGACTCAGTTTCTCTGCACTGTAAAATGGTAGGTGCTAACTGGTAGACTAAAACCAAACTTTTAAAAAACAGCGAATTTACTAAGATTCATGAGCTTTTCCATTTATTAGAGTTGTAATAAGGATCAAATGAGGTAATACTTGTAAAGTGCTTAGCATGATGCCTGACAAATAGTAGGCATCACATAAATGCTTACACTCTCCCCCTTTCCCCTTGTTTCTGAGTTCTCTTTACCACAGAAAGCACCACTGTGAACATTTTGGAAAATAGATGAGACCTTTCTTTCTGTCCTTGATCTCCTAGGGGC